GGCCGCCACGGCAACTGCTCCCAGCCGGGTGAGACCACGGCGGCCCTGTCCCGTTCCCTTTCCCCGCGAAGTCCTGGGGTCGGGCCCGGCCTCGTTGGGCGTGGGGGGAGCCTCTGTGAGCCTGAAGGAGGAATGGGACGGAGTGGGTGTGGGTGCTCCGTGCCATGAGACCCTGAAACCGGAACGGGCGGCGGGGGTGCGGGTCCCTGTGTCAGTGTTAGCGGGGCCCTGACACTTGTGGGTCTGGCTCCTGTGGAGCTGCCTGCCGGGCTTAAGGCAGAAAAAAGGTTAATTTGAATTAAGCAGTGTGAAACAGCCGCGTTAGTCTGGCTCTGGGTGGCAGCTGTGGGCAGCCCTCTCTCATTGCAGTTTTTTGGTTTGTTATTTTTTTGTTTCAGTTTTGACTCAACTAGGCCTCTTCCTGAGCACCACCGGCTCATGCCGGTTCACTTCTTCCTCTCCCAGAGCCCTCAGATCCCTTCTCTCTGCTAAGCCAGGCTGCAAAGTGGCTCTTCCCAGCAGCAAAGGATGATTTGCTGCTCAGTTTCTCCTTATCAGCTCCTGGGAGGCCAAAGTCTGCTGCCTGGGGAGCCTGACAGCATCGGGAGAAACAAAAACATCACTTCCCCTGAGGGAATAATAGTATTGGGGAGTTATTGGATTACTGTATATTGTTTAAAAAATAGTTGGTACTTTGCGTCTTTCCAAATAATCTGCTTTTTTATCATTTGAGGCAGTGAAATGGAAGGTGGGAGAGCGCTGGTGTGAAGTGGCGTGGGGTGGCTGATACACAGTGCCAGATGTTTTAGGGAAAAACTTGTCACAGTGACAGCATCTGAGTCCTGTGTAGCTGTACAGGCAGTTATGTTTAAATAAGCTGATGTTCCTCTGTAACAGCTGTTTGGTGCTGCTGCTAATTAAATGTGCAAATGCTGCCTAGCAAATACTGGAAAAAATGAGCATGTAGACCCACTGACAGGTAAGTGAAGTCCCTGAAGTCTTTTTATAGAGGGTTTTATTCAACAAGTGTGTTTTAGTATCTTTTGGGATAAAATAAATATAATATTCTTGGTACGCATTTTTAAATCTTGTCTCTTCCACGCAGTAATGGTGCAATAATGTTTGTATTTCTTACAGGGCCTGTGGAAAGGAAGGTGCTTGTGAATCTTCAAAAGTTAGATGTGGCTCAGGATAGTCTGGGCAGCCATGGTTTCTTCACTTTGATTTACAATCAAGGCTTTGAAATTGTGCTAAATGACTACAAGTGGTTTGCATTTTTTAAGGTGAGTTACTGTGGTGTGTTCTCCATCACTGACTGTTGCTAAAGTGTCCTGTAGTTGGGCTTCTCTGTAGTCCCTGAGTACTGTGGTGGATAGCTGGGACACGTGGTTATCCTTGACTCTAAGGTTTACCTGGATTATCAGGTAGAGGATTTATTTAATGTAAAGAAACAACTATCAGTGTCTGGGTAGGGAGCCAAGGAAGGGAAAAGAGGTATTTGTATTCTTTATATTCTACGCTGGCCATTATCTGAAAAATCTGTTGCAGGCACTGCTGCTTTCCCTTCTGGGAATGCTTAAAGCAGTTGAAGGCCTTCACTAAGTTAATTCTCCGAGTTGTCTGGAATTGTTATTTTTGGTTTTTTTTTTCAGTTTTCTTTCTGACACCTTGGATGTGAAATAGCAAATGTCATTGCCAAGATGTTTGCAAATGCGTGAAAACTTTAGAAAGCCTATCTGCTCTCCTTGCTGGAGCATTTCTAGAGTCTTTAAATTTCATTCCAGAATAGTACTTTGGTTATCCTAGGAACCTTTCTGCTGCCTACAGTTGTTTTTTTGGAGTAATACCTGTCCCTGTTAAGGACTTCAGATGAAGCCAAAGACAGTGCTCATAGGCAGGGGCCTAGACAGGAGAAAATCTGTTTGCTAAGGAGCGTTCTGCTGCTGTCCTTACAAATAGCATTTTGAATCTGGAGGATGGCTTGAAGCAGTCTCAGCAGGATGAATTTGGAACCTGGGAGACAGGTGTTTTGTGCAGCCAGACTGCTCAGTTGGTAAATGCAGTGAATATGTTGAAAGAGCAGTGAATGTGTTTCTGTGGTGTTTTAGGAAGTGTGATCTCCTGTCCAGCTTCAGATAAGCTGAAAGTAAGCACCCAGGCCTTGTCCAAGCATGAAATCTCTGAACCTTAGCTAGCAGTAAGGAGGGTGAAGAAATGACTCGTAGTTTAAATTGCCTTTCTGGGAGCCATTGTAGATGGGCTATTTCACAGCAGCTATTTTCAAGTCAGTGTTTTCAGCTGTTAACAAAAGTGAGTGATCCACTTTTCCAGGAAAACTGTAATCCTTACTGAATAGGATTGATGTGTGAGTCTTTGATTTAACTGCAGCTTCCTCCATGCTGATTGGAGCTCATTTAAGTTAAGGGAAAGGGCAGTGTAGGTTGTTTTTAAAGGGTAATGGTGAAGTTGTTTCCGTGCTCTGTTGAGGGTTAACCCCAGTAGGAAGCTATGCGCTGTGCAACCACTCGCTCATTCCCCTTCCAGTGGGATGAGGAAGAGAATCAGAAGGGTAAAAGTGTGAAAACTCATGGGTTGAGATAAAAGTATTTTATTTGGTAGAGCAAAAGCCATGCATGCAAGCAAAGCAAAATAAGGAATTCATTCACTGCTTCCCACCAGCAGGCAGGTGTTTGGCTGTTTCCAGGAGAGCAGGGCTTAATCAAGCGTAACTTGCTTAGAAAGACATACACCATAATTCTGAATGTCCTCCTTTTCTCCTTTCCACAGCTTTTATTACTGAGTGTGATGTTGTGTGGTGTGGAATATCCCTTTGGTCAGCTAAGGTCAGCTGTCCCAGGGAAGTCTGAGTAGCAAATGAGGCTTTGATGCTGTGTGAGCACTGCCCAGCAATAACATTCCTGTGTTATCAATGATGTTTTCATCACAAATCTAAACCATGGCAATATGAGCTACTATAAATACAATTAAGTCTATGCCAAGACTTGTGCACTCTTATAACTGCAAGCTTTTAACATAATGCTTTTGTGTAAGATGGAGTCAAAATGTGAGAGAAATGCCTGATCGACATTGTCCCATCTGTATAAGGTAGTGACACTAAATAGCCGTAGGAATGTGCACTGCTCGTATGTTTGGAACATAGAATTGTAGAATGTGTTGGGTTGGAAGGGACCTTTAAAGCTCATCCAGTCCAACCCCTGCACTCAGCAGGGATGTTGGTACCAGATCAGGTTGCTCACAGCCCCATCAAGCCTGATCTTGAATATCTCCAAGGATGGGGCCTGCACCACCTCTCTGGGCAACCTGTGCCAGTGATCTACCACCCTCATGGTGAAGAGCTTTTTCCTCATATCCAACCTAAATCTCCCCTTTTCTAGTTTAAAACCATTACCCCTTGTCCTATTGCTCCATGCCCCAGTGAACAGCTCTTCCCCAGATTTCTTATAGGCACCTTTCAGGTCCTGGAAGGTCACTACAAGGTCCCCCTGGAGCCTTCTCTTCTCCAGGCTGAACAACCCCAACTCTCTCAGCCTGTCTTCTTAGCAGAGCTGCTCCAGCCCTTGGATCATCTTTGTGGCCTCCTCTGCACTCACTCCAGCACTTCAATGTCCTTTTTGTATTGGGGACTCCAAAGCTGGATGCAGCACTGCAGGTGAGGTCTGAGCAGAGCAGAGCAGAGGGGCAGAATCCCCTCCCTGGCCCTGCTGGCCACACTTCTTGTGATGCAGCCCAGGATGTGGTTGGCTTTGGGCTGCAAATGCACATTGGTGACTTATCTCCAGCTTCTCATTCACCAATACCTATACTAATGACTATATGGGCTACTATGAGTAAAATTAACTCTATGCCAACTCTTGTGCGCTATTGTAACTTTACATTTTTAACATACGAATGCTTTTGCATAAGACAGGGTCTCATACCGGAGCAAAAGTAAAGTGTGATAGAGAAATGACTGAATAGTATTGACACTAAATTTCCATAGTGATGTGCATTCCTTATAGGTTTAGTTGGTCAAAATGCACTGATTTGCAAGAGTACTCTTAATAAACTGACACCTGTGTTACAGAATAGTAATTTAGGCTGGCAGGAACTTCTGGAGGTCACCTGATTAAACTCGTTCCTCAAAACAAATTAAGTCGAATATATGCTTGAGTGGTAGCAATGCACAATAGCTTGCATTTCATGGTTGTGAATGTGTCTTAGCCCTTTGTAGGCAAATGGATTAATTGTTAGTTTTGCAGTTGCTTTTGGTATTGAGAAATAGCAAGCTTTTTTGTTCAGGAGTAGAGATTCCATCAGCAAGATGTGCTTAAATTAAAGGCTTCTTAAATATTATAGCGAGGATTAGAGCCCAGTTCAGTTACCCTCTATAGTTTTGCTGCTGTAAAGGAAACAACAATAATGCTGTAAAGTGCATTACCAAGATGCAAGTATAATGGCTGAGAAGCATGAGGAGATACCACAGCACATAGTAAATGCATTTTGTGCTGCAGACAACCAATTGACTTCGTTAGGCAACAACTGTCTGTCTGCAAAACTGTTATTTCACAACTGTCAGTGGGGACTGGGAGGGAAGAAGTTGTTCCTTACGAACTGCTTGACCTTATGCCATATTTAGATATGCATATCTGTTTACTTTTGATCCAGTAAATATTGCATTACATCTGAAATCAAAATAATCTAGTCCTGGCAAAATCTAAAAATGTGGTTTATTCTGTCAAATACAGTTAAGGCATCTTTTGGCACATACTCTGTCTTCATCTACTGTAAAACTTCTGGGGTACAAATAACATCCTTTGCTCAGTGCAAGCTTCAGAGCTTTTTGAAGACTGCCTGTTTAAAATAAAATACTACCCTGTACACCTGAAAGTACTGTAAACATAGCAGTCTTCATTTGCTAGTGTTGGTCATAATCCAGAAGCCCTTTAAAACAGGCTAAACTAGAATGCGAATTGGTGAGGGCCTTCCTCCCTGGAAATGCAGTAAGAGTAAAGCATAAAAGCAATCTCTTAAAATATTCACAGAATCACAGAACGTTAGGGATTGGAAGGGACCTCAAAAGATCATCCAGTCCAATCCACCTGCCGGAGCAGGAACACCCAGATGAGGTTACACAGGAAGGCGTCCAGGCGGGTTTTGAATGTCTCCAGAGAAGGAGACTCCACAACCTCTCTGGGCAGCCTGTTCCAGTGCTCTGCTACCCTCACTGAGAAGTTTCTTCTCAAATTGAAGTGGAACCTCCTGTGTTCCAGTTTGTGTCTGTTACTCCTTGTCCTATCATTGTTTGTCACTGAGAAGAGCCTGGCTCCATCCTCGTGACACTCACCCTTTATGTATTTATAAACATTAATGAGGTCTCCCCTCAGTCTCCTCTTCTGCAAAACTATTTCTTAGCCTTGGTTGATGTTGGGAATGTGGAAAGTCAATAGACAAAATCCCTTTGGATTTCTTGGGAAGGAGGAAGGTACAAAACTAATGTGTTTAATATGGAGTAATCTGCTATTGGTTTTACTGCTTGGTAAAAATTACTTAAGTTTCACTCTGCAATAACATTCCCATTTGAATGCCTAATAATTAGGCAGAAAATAAAACTGAAGTTTTATACTATTTACTCTTTTATGCTATTAACTCTAATACCATGCTAAAAGAGTTCTGCGCTTCCCAAAGTGCTTACACGTATTGGAGCAGCTGTAACACAACGCCTTGCACATCTGTTCCGTGGTTGTGGGTTTGCATTGCCATGAAAGTATCCATTGCTTAAGTGCTGCTCATAAATTTCAAGTTCTGTTTATGTTGCAGTAAAGGTAAATTATGTGGCTAAAGCACCATTGTGGTGACAGGGCAGATAAAGCATTCTGTTTTATGTACTGTAATAATGCTCCTATTTTGCTGTTGAACAGAGAGAAAGGAGTTGTTGGGCTGAATGAACTGAAGTATTTGAGCCCATGCAATGCTTCATGCATGTTATTTCAAGAACTGGTGCTAATTGAACTTGCTTAATTGAATTTTCACTTGATTTTTTTTGCTTAATGATGAAGAATGAAGCTGTTAATTGCTAACAAGGATGCTGTGGACTTGTCTAAATGGTGGCTTTATCAGAGCCGCTGTGCTGTGTGGATGTAGACACAGACTGTGTGATGATGGTGATGGTGCATATTTTGGCGAGTTTTTAATTGTTCCTGTGGCTTACTAAGCAGACATCCACTAACATTTTCGTAATTCCTCACTACCTTTACGAGTTACTTCTTGATGGGGAGTGGGGGGAAATGACTTTCTACACCAAAGGAGTGTATTGGGTGAGCTTATTAGTCTATTTTTGTCTCAGTGTGCTTTACAAGTGTAAGTGAATAAGCTCTGGTGCTACTACTGACTTTTGAGATGAAAAACCCTAAAGTTTGGCTTTTTTTTCCCTATTAAAACACTAGCACTATGTCAGCAAAACAAAAGAAATAGAATATAGAGTATTCCACTACTCAAGTTACTCATCTTTCCCATCTGATGTGGTGATATCTTTGCCACATCTTTTCCTTTCTTCCCCAGTGACCCCAAATTTGATTAAAACCAAGGACTTCTGTTCTGAAATAACCAGCCTAGACAAGGGAAGTAGTTGATGTTTAAATTTCAGAATGTAAAAAAAAAACGACGACTGAATACTTTTTATTCCATCTTTCTGAAATAGAAGTGTTAATGTTGCTAGTGCTATTTAATCATCCTGCAAATAAATGGAAAGTTAGAAATTAACTTATTTTAGCTGAGCCTACTTAACCAGCTGTGTGCAACTGCCACTTCCTTACAGTAATAAATCTGAAAACATAAAGGTCTGAATTGCAGAATGTTCTCTAGGGGGAAAAAAACCACGCATCTCTAGTTGAGATTTTCTTGCATTTTATATCAGGTAGCAAGATGCAGTGGCTTATTCTGATAATATCTTCTGTATTTTTTGTGTACAGTAGAGTATCTACAGTCCTGCTCTAATTAAGAATGTGCTTCCCATAATAAAATGCATAGAGACCCTTGTAAATTTGATTATAAATGAGTGATAAGCCTCTCCATAAGGGTTAATGTAGAGGGTAATGGTACTTCCTAGATAAAGAGTCTGCTTTTTGCCTGGACACTGTTTAAACTGAAAACTGTAGCTGTGAAAAAGAACAGGATGGCAGCATTTGAAATAGAATGATTATATGTAATTTTACTATTATATTATTATTGTTGAAATAATACAATATCTAATGCATTATTACATTAGATATAATTAATTATTACTATTATTGTTATTATTTCAAACCTCAGAATCTGTACTGTGAATAGGGTTTTTGCATTTCTGAGCCCTTTGGTCTTAGTAGGAAATGCTACGTGTGGTTTTAGCAATGAAATATTGATTTGACAGTGTGCCTTCTGGTAGTAACCAGTGGGTGTCCTTGTCATGGCACCGATGGCTTTGCTCTCCCTTTGTAGTTCCCCTAACATGTGGAATTAAGCTTAAATATTGGGGGTTTTAAGGGATTTTCTACCACTTCTATACATCAGTTGCTCTCAATTAAAAGTCAGGGGCAGTGTGAGGAGAAGCAAATTGGGACTGCATGGGTATACTTCCCTTTCCTAGCTGAAAACAGCTCTTACAGCTCAAATTCCCTTCATCCAGATGTTTTTAATGGGCTATAGTCTCAAAAATCATATTTCCTTTTTAGAGCTATTTCAGTAGTCTGCCAGCCTACAAAAAGGCAGCTGCAGAGTACCTGGATTGCTTAATTTTAGGCTTCTGGACAAACTCTGAAATTTGCTTTTGTCTCTTGCTTATCTTGAAGCATTACCACCGACTGTCCCCTCACCTTCTTCCTCATTTTACTGATATGTTTGATCATATCAGTAAAATAAAAATCAGTAATCATAAGTAATCAGTAAAATAAGTAATCAGTAAAATAAAATATCAGTAATCATATCAGTAAACATATCAGTATTTTACTGATATGTTTGATCATATCAGGGGTGGTTAGTAGGTCACAGAGGTTCTCCTCCCCCTCTACTGTGCCCTGGTGAGACCGCATCTGGAATATTGCGTCCAGTTCTGGGCCCCTCAGTTCAAGAAGGACAGGGAACTGCTGGAGAGAGTCCAGTGTAGGGCTACAAAGATGATGGAGGGAGTGGAGCATCTCCCTTCTGAGGAGCGGCTGAGGGAGCTGGGTCTCTTTAGTTTGCAGAAGAGGAGACTGAGGGGAGACCTCATTAATGTTTATAAATATTTAAAGGGTGAGTGTCACGGGGATGGAGCCAGGCTCTTCTTGGTGACAGACAATGATAGGACAAGGGGTAATGGGCACAAGCTGGAACACAAGAGGTTCCACTTAAATTTGAGAAGAAACTTCTTCTCAGTGAGGGTGACAGAGCACTGGAACAGGCTGCCCAGAGAGGTTGTGGAGTCTCCTTCTCTGGAGACATTCAAAACCCGCCTGGACGCCTTCCTGTGTAACCTCATCTGGGTGTTCCTGCTCCGGCAGGTGGATTGGACTGGATGATCTTTTGAGGTCCCTTCCAATCCCTAACGTTCTGTGATTCTGTGATCTGAAAGAACAGCATTGGAACAGATTTAAGAGATGATGACTAAAGATCCTTTTCTGTGTATTGGGTTTTTTTCCTTTTTTCCAGTCAAAGAATTGCTAATCCAGGAGGCTTCTGCAGCTGGGGAAAGTGTTGCTTACTGTTGTATGAAGGCACATTTTACTGAATATATTAACTTATTACTCCAGTGGTGAAATGCAGACTGAGTAAGGAAGTATTAGGATTTGGGGCTTTAGTAGCACTTCCCTCACTGCCAACTTCAAATGAGTTGCTCTTGATGGTTCATCACTTACTACTGTCTCATTTTGATACTTCAGGTGAAATTATTTCTTGGTACTTTTCCACCACAGCTCAAACTTAAAGAAGTTACGGAAGTTTTGTGTTTGATTCTGACTTGTAAACCAGGAATGTTGTAGTACAACTCTCCCTAAGAGGTTACCGGGTGAGAAATTTTCCATTTTCCCTGTGTTTGCTTTTTTAGGCTGTTGAGAGTTGTAATTTCTCAGACTTTTGCAGCAGTCCAGAGTTTGAGTAGTCACATATTTGGTACAAGGGTTAGTTTGAGTAGTCACAGTTGGTACAAGGAACCTTGAAAATTAGGAACAGCGCTAAGAGATCTCTTACACTTTGCCTACAAATAACTGTTGAACACAAACAAATGCATCTACTCAACACAAGCATAACCTCTTCACATTACAGTACAAAAAGGAGGGCCAGAATGTGACCAGCTACTGCAATGAGACTCTACCAGGATGGGTCCATGATGTCCTTGGCCACAATTGGGCTTGTTTCATCGGGCAGAAGATTTCTTCATCTCCCTCAGATGTTCATGTAAACGAGCTACCCCTACAGAAGCCCAGGGGAAGGTAAGCATTAGATAAGTCACTTTTTACTAGAATAAAACATGTGGTGTAACCGTGCTTCAGGCTTGAGCTAGAACAGTATGGACCAGTTCTGTTACTGAGGGCAAAGTTAGTGCTAGTGATAATGTTGGGAATAAACCTGAATGCACAAAAACGGATGAGAGTGTGCCTGTTATATCGGGCAGTTGCTCCTTCCATCTGTGGTGAAGCCCAGTTACAAAACTGGCACGTCTAAAGAAAATGATGATCTTGTTAGTCTGTCTTAAATTTCAGAAACCCTACACTGATCCAATAATTACATGTTTCTTTATCATTACCTACCAAAAGACTCTTCCAGACTTAGTCTTCTCCATATTTAGTTTAGAGAACACTTACTGTTTAAATCCCAGTCCTTACTGTTTTATTTGGTTGCTTTTGTTTGCAGACTTTCAAGCAGACGTTATGTGCACAACGCTGACTTTGTAAATGCTATCAATGCTCACCAGAAGTCCTGGAGAGCTACAAGATACAAGGAGTATGACAACTTTGCCCTGGAAGAGCTAACTAGAAGAGCTGGGGGTATCTATTCCAGAGCTCCAAGGTACTGAGGCCTTTTGTTTTGCCATAAACAGCACTGCTACAAAGAATCCACTTGTGTTTGTCCTGGATCTTCGTAGCTGTGTTTTGTTTAGCTGTTCAGATGTTTAATGAAGTTTCAAGGCCTTCCAGCTTACTTTTGTGGAGTGCCAATGTATTTCTTCACTTGAATGATTATCCTAAGCATCTGTTGTCTTGAGCAGTTAAGTGAAATAGGGTCATCTACCCTTTAATCTTGTCCAGTAACTGTTTCCTGAATTCATACTGCAGGAAAGAAGTGAGGACAGTCTCAGTTGTCATCTCACTCTCCTGTCTACCCATCAGCTGCTTGCCTTAGTCACGAGCTTCTGCTTGACTATCTTCCTGCTTCTCCTAGTTCATAGTTGCAATTAAAAAACAATGAACCACATTCTGCTATTAAACACGAATCAAGATTTTTTTGAAGGAGTTCCCTGGTTGCTTTGATAATTTGCCCTGCCTGCAATCAGTGTCCTCTTTAACAGTAGAGTGAAGCAGTAGCATGAAGTAGCCCATTTAAGATCAAGTCCAACCACTATTTAACTCTACCATGCCCACTTCTAAACCATGTCTCTAAGCACTGTATCAAAGCGGCTTTTAAATACATCCAAGGATGGTGACTCCACCACTGTCCCGGGCAGCCCCTTCCAGTCTTTGATAGCCTTTCAAGTGCAGTTTTTCCTAATGTCTAACCTAAACCTCTGCTGGTACAAACTGAGACCTTTTTCTCTTGTCCTATCAGTTGTAATTTGTGAGAAGAGATGCCAGCCCACCTCTGTACAACCTCCTTTCAGGTAGTTGTAGAGAGCAATAATGTCTCACCTCAGCCTCCTTTTAATGTGATGGAGATGGATGCATGGTCTCTTACATTAATTTGAGAACCAGAAGTCTTTGACCTGAAGTTTCCCTTCTTTATGGCTGTTTTACCTACTTTCTAATTTTGCTTTTTTTTATTCTGATACTGCTGTCGGTAGGAATGCTACTTACTTTTCCAAACCATAGAATCACAGAATGGTTTGGGTGGGAAGGGACCTCAAAGCTCCTCCAGTCCAACCCCCCATGGGCAGGGACACCTCCACCAAACCAGGCTGCTCCAAGCCCCGTCCAACCTGGCCTTGGGCACTGCCAGGGAGGGAGTACCCACAGCTTCTCTGGGCAACCTGGGCCAGGGCCTCACCACCCTCACAGGGAAGAATTTCTTCCTAATACCCAGTCTAAATCTCCCCTCATCTAGTTTAAAACCATTCCCCCTCATTCTATTGCTACTTGTCCTTGTAAAAAGTCCCTCCCCAACTTTCCTGTAGAACCCCTTTTGGACTTGAAAGACTGCAATAATGTCTCCCCAGAGCCTTCCCTTCTTCAACTATGGCAACTGTATGTTTGTAGAAGGTCCTACAATGTAATAAAAATTCTGATGGGAATACCATGCAAATTATCGTGGTTTCATCCTATAGACAGAAGCCTCCTTGTAGATGGTCTTAAATACAGTAACCTGTTTGGTAGCCTTATTGCACTATGGAGTGCCATGACAATATTTTGTTGGCCCTTTCATGCTTTCTAAACAGCCTCCAGAGTCTGATGTTTGTGACTGGCACTTGACACATGACCTTTAGGACAAAAACGCCGGGTTTTGTGAATGCTGAATGCAAGAAGCTCTTGGCTTGGTGACCTGAACATCACTTGGCTGCAAGTGGTAGATGAGGGGAAGTAGCATTCAATACTACTTAAATAGTCGCAGTAAAAACTTGCTTTAGGGCATGTGGGACTGCAGTTATTGAAGTGTTGATGTGAGCTGTGTCTTGCTGTCAGTGCATGCTGCTGAGGCAAGGTGCCTTCTGTAGTCAGTTATCCCACATACCTCATGGTGACAAAGGCATATGATAGCCGTTGTAGAGCTGCATTGCTACAGTCACTGAGAGTTACTTCAGATTGGTTCAGAAGTGTTTGGCCCCACCGGCTTGTGGATACTTCACAATATAGTTCCCTCAGGGAGGGATTTGAGTAGGTCTTGCATCC